ATTCCCACTTTAGCACAAACTGAAGCACTCTCTAGCTCTATTGCCTGTGCTGATGAAACTCACAGATTATATTGGAAGCTCAGAGTCTGAGCTCAGTGGTCAATACCTGTCTGTAGACATGCCAAAATAGATGTGTAAATATGAAGATGAATTGCATCAAAGACTCAATTCATCACATATTAGCATTTACTGAACACCTTCTAAAAAAGCCAAAGCATCTGCACTGAGCTGGCATATATGATAGCTCATTTGAGAGAAAGCCTGCACTCCTCCTGAGGAGCAGCTCGAGGCCAGGGGGGATACCTTAAGGCATCTCAGGTAGCATTAGACGCTGGCATACAGATAGAGAAATCAAGCTGTCACTCCTGTTACGCTCAAAGAGATGAGTTCTCATCTCACTGGCTTGCTCTGAGGATGAATACTTCACCCAAACATTGAAGATGGAAAATAGGACAAAATAGTTAGTACACTACATTAAATCAATGCTGGCAGGGCTGCTGGGAATAGACAAGCTTCCAGCTTGGTGCTTAAAATGCTAGTCCTCTTGACTTGAACAGTTGAAATAATTCCTTACAATGTATTTCAGTTAAAGTGTTTGCTACTTAGCAGCAGTGGTAGCTAGCAATATGCAAACCTGCAACTTCAACCCGTAAACCTGTATTTGCTTTTACAAGCAGTGGAATAAATGAATGAATGAATGCATTATAAATGATTCAACGTTTCTTCATTCAGAACAATGTTTTCTAAGCACCTGTTCAAAGTACTCTTATCAGAAAAAAATTGAGAGTTGAAACTTGGCCTTTAAAATTCACTCTGTAATGAAACTAAAATGCAAATATAGCAGAAATCACTGAAACATTCAGATAGAACACACCAGAAAGATTATGCAAGTTACCAATTGTGTATAAGAATAAAAGTATTTTTCTCATCCATAATGTGAAAAACAGAGCTGTATAACTTTATATTTGTTTGTGAGCTGAAATCCTTGAATCTCACCATCTCAGAATGTAGATGACAGTTTTATCTTATCTGCTGGTTCAGTCTGGTACAGAGAGTGAAAAGGAAATAGCAATGCTGCCTGCACAAGTACTTTTGCATGTTTTAACCCAGAGAATTGTAAATTATGGCACGCTGCAAATAACTTTCAAATAGTTTCCTAAAATATTTCCCACTATTAAAATAAAGCATAAAACTAATTTCTGCAACTTTTATCTCACTGGGCAACTACTACTCATATAAAAACTATATGAAGCTACTCTATAGGAAATGAGGGTGCCAAATATGTTTATTTCCACTTTAAGTTTCACTAAACATCTCCTTTAAACTCAACTTATTTCAGTAATGGAGCTAAACATGCTTAGCTCCTCAAACTCCAGTTCTGAAGAAGAGTGGTCTAAATCAAAGTTGTTAGTTTCAGCTGGCCTATTAATTTAATGAGTAATTGTTTGCATTGTTTTTCTCCCTAAGTTACACGAATGAGAGGAATGTACAAAGAAACTGATGTCTGCAAGAAGATGGTGAGAAGCACCGTACAGGGAAGGTGGCAGTCAGCTTTCAGCATGGCTCTGATAAGGCACATTAATTATGAAATAAACACTCTGCATATTAAGCTGATGATTTCTTTGTGGCAGAGGTGCCTTGTATCTCCACTTATGCCAAACTGCTCCCAGAAAGTTCATTGCTTTGAACCAGGAGGTGAAATAGTCATGGACTAGGCATCAGATTAATGTGTCTGTGTACTTTAATGCAATCTTCCCAAAGCAGCAGTTAGGGCCAGAAAATTTGCAATGAAACCCCAGCCGGTAATCAAAGGTTTGCCACTGCTGTCAGAGAGGCCAAGTTTTGCTAATACTGTACCTCTCCTTGGATGTCCTGCTAAGAGTGGCAGCTTTTTACATTCTTTTCAGTGGGCTCTGGCACAGTTGCATGTTTGAACCCTGATGCTGAAAAATGGAAATAAATGACCATAAGATTAAGTGTTTTGTGAGTTTTCACACAACAAGAAGAAAATAGCTCTAATTCCCTTTCGACACTTTTACATCTCATCCTTTCTTGATATTTAGCCAGGTGTTAGGTTAGTTTTGCATCAAAACAGTAACTTCAAAGAGTTCTTTTAAAAAGAATAAAATGAAGGAGAAAGAGAAGACTGATTTTCTCTGTCCACTGCCACTGGGCTCACTGCCCATTTCTTGTCTTTCTTTTTTTAATTTGTTAATTCTAATGAAAAAGTGTTTGCATAGCAAGTTCAGGAGACTTTGGCAACACAAAACTTAGGACAATCTCATTTTTTATAAAAATGAACAAAGGGCATCCACTCTAAGATTGATCAGTGGATACTGTAAATGAATGAGACATTTATTTTTGTGCCAGCTCAACTACCAGTGTCAACAAGATTTGTATATATTTTGGCAAGTGTACTGCACAAGGTGGTAATAAAATAGGCCTTTTATATCTGAGTCTAATTTACTTCAGTTATACTCATTAAAAATGTGTTTTCATGTGAAAGGAATTTCAGTAAGGGATACTTTGCAAACAGAAACATCACAGAAATATTTGCTATACAGACAGTATCAAGAATTTTACAACTGAGAAAGAACATTTTTTTAGGAAGTAATTCCCAGGTTCTGTGAATGTAAGGCTCCTGTTTTGCTGGTTTTTAATCATTGTTAGGCTCAACATTGCAGGTTTAACTATTATGCTTGGTGTTAACAGCTTATGTTTTTTAAGTAACACAATATATGGAGTAAGAAATCCAGCTCACTGTATATTTTGCCATTTTCAGCGACAATACCCACAGTAAAGCTACCCACAGAAGGCAAAAAATGTGCTCTATGAGGTCTTATTATGTATAAATTCCTTTGGACAAGTAAGTGTTGGTATGGCTGAAGGTGTGATTTTAAACCCATTTTCTTTAAATGTGTAGAAAATCATGAGTGAATGGTTCATGAGCAGTGCTTTGGCTTTAACAGGCTCGTAACATTGCATTTTATTGCACATTAGGAACATGCTTCATCTAAACCAACAAATGAAAAAAAAGGCAACAAGAACAGCATGTTTAGCCAAAGCTTAATCAAACAGGGTCAAGACTATGTCTTTGTCAAACCTGAATAGAAGTATCTGCCCAGTGTTATATCAACACACACTGAAGGATCAGGATTATTTTTTTATTGTATTTCTTAAGTCTTGGGTTTGCTCCTGTTTACACTGTCTTGAGAATATATTGGAGTGCTAGTTGAAATAAGAGAAGAGCAATGAAAAGAATCCTGTCTTTCAGTTACCTTGCCATCTTACTGGAGAGAAAAATGCAGAGGATCCAGATTCATCACCACAGCAATACACAGTATCTGAAATACTGAAGCTGTTTCCAAAGATATAATGCAATTTTTCTTCAGTGATAAGAAACAAAGCCTTTTTGTGCCAAATGCATTTCAGTGATGCATACCATTTTTATATTTTGATAAGACGAAAATAAAAGAAAAGAGGTGATTGACCACAAAGCTCTGACAGGCTGAATTAAATTTTATGAAACACAGCTATCAAATCATGCCCAAACAGAAAATATTCTAATCTGAAAAAAAAAAAAAAATTCCTATAGCTAGGATGGCAAAATTATGGGTATCATGCTAATACTGTTACTTTGACTAAGTACAACCAGTATCTATTAGAAACCCTAACATTTCAGTAGGTTCAAGGTAAAGTAATGTGCCAGTCACAGAGAGAAAAATCAGAAACTGCCTGAAATTGCATTCCCTACTTGCAAAACAGGTACGAGCTGCCTCACCACTTACATTAGCCGACATACAGCTGTCTTTGCTGGTAATTTCAAGAAGCACAGCACAAACTGTCATTAATGATTTTGAAATGTACTAATTTGTGAAAGTATTATGACATGTCACACAAGATAGCCAGCACCTAAGAACTTGTGAAAAATGCATTCTTATAACTGAAATAATATTTAGCTTTATAATCAAAATTCTAGGAGAGAGAGAATAAGTAATTATGAAAATATATAGCTTTAATTTGCAGACATATAAACACTTTTGGTACATTACAGACATGATGCGAGAAATCAAAATAATAATTTTTAAGCATAACACTAATTTATCTTGTTCACACAGAGAAATTTGATGCAATCATCATACAAAAGATAGTTCTCAGCTCTTAAAATGAAGTGAAAGTAATATATCACTGATAAAATTGCTGCTTTGTTGCAGAGGATACAGCAAAGAATAAATTATCAAGAAAATATGCCACCAGTCTTACAAGTTAGATTTCGGATCTAATCCAAAATCAAAGCCAATGAAAAGGAGCCAGGAATGGTCGCCAAAAGTCAGCAACAAGATATTTCACATGAAATACCAATCCAGAAGGAGCAACAGTCAGAATAAAAAAAGTCCTACAATTCCTCAGAATGTGAAGTGATTTTTGTTTTCATCTGGCAGATCAGATTCAGAAGTAACACATAACAAAAATCTACTGCACAACCCAACTGATGGAGTACTATTGACAGATTGCTCAAAGTACAAAAAAATACCACCACTTTTGTGATTTAGCCATTCCCTTGCTTCCTTGCATCTGGCATGTTTATGAGGATGAGGATGGGGCTCTGTCATTATTTGCTTTAGGAAATATTAAATATAATTTTTCCATAAAAATGACCAGCATATTGCTGGAGCAAATGATAATGAGAGTGTAATATGGAGAAAAATGAATGATATGTCACAGCAGTTCAGATTCTCATTACAATATCTTGCATTCTTGCTCAACAGGAATTGCACTTCTTGTTAATGCCTCTTCTACCCTATTGTATAAGCTTTACTTGTGAGGTAATAAACATTCTGGTTTTCATTACTAGTGCATTTTAGCATATTTATTTTTTTTTTATTATACATACATTGGGACAGACATTTCTCTTTTTTTTTTTTTTTTTTTTTTTTAAGTGGTTAAATGTCTGTATGCCAATAGGTATTTTATATTAAAATCAATATATTTAAAATATATTCTGTTTATCTCATGGACAGTACCTTGAACAGTTCCCTGCTCAGCAGCATCTGATGCCCTCTCGTGGTTAAAAAGACTTTTAAAACTTGAGTTTAAAAGAATCATCTTACCTTCACCCTTTTTATGTTCACTGATCTTATTGATTTATGAAAGCTGGAAATGATGCCCATGTTTTTATAGTCAGGGTGCTAGCTGTTAGTTACTAACGTTTCATAAAAAAGCTGTACACTGAAATTGAATTTAAAAAACTGTAAACAGCTATTTACAATTATAATATTAAGTTATAAATTAGCAGTCCTTCATTCAACCTTTGTCAATACAACCTACAGCTAGGTGTTTTAGTGTCCTCCAGGGTTTTTCAAATGTTGGACTTATACACAAAGAAACATCAAATGTTAGAAATCTCCATTGGTTTCTTCTCCAACATGTGCAGGCTAATTCTTCCATTTAATGGGATTTGGACTTCCAAGTTTTCATCTGCTCTGTGATGCTCTTTCCCTTTTCTTAGACAAATGTAAATTCCCATCCCTGTTACTAAAGCAATTGAACCCAAGCTTATTATTGAAAGAGCTACCAAGGTAGGCATGCAGGATGCTGACTCCATTTTTTTATGTGTAGGCTCTATGGATATTTGTGGTTGCTTTTCTTCTACACTGATATCAGGCTCCTTCCTTAACAAACTTTCGATGTAGCTCTCATTGCTGACAGTATCATTGACAAAAAGGTTCACCATGACAGTGGAGTGGAGAGGTTCCGGGTAGCCGTGATCACTAACTTTTACAAGAAGCCGATAGAGGCCATAGTCATTTTGCATCAGTGACTCTTCCAAGGTGATATTACCAGTTTTGGGGTCAATCCTAAATGACTCGGGTCGAGGGCCTCTTCTTCCTATGATACTGTAAGCTATGACTGCATTCATGCCAGTGTCCTTATCGACAGCATAGACCTCGGTGATGGGAGAGCCAGGAAGGGTAGAAGGAAGGACTAACAAGTAAGACATATTAGACTGAGGAAACAGGACCAAAGGAGGGTTGTCATTTATGTCCAGAAGAAGGATAGTTATTTTTGCTGTAGAAGACAGGGCAGGATCACCGCCATCAACTGCTTCAATCCACAGAATGTAGGAGCTTTGCTGCTCCCTGTCCAGGGAGACTTTAGCTCTCAAAACTCCTTTTCCAGTATCTATAACAAAAATATCACTTCCATTCAGAACTGAAAGGGCAACCCATCCATTTTGCCCTGCATCCGCATCTGTGACACTTATAACTCCAATTTCACCAAAACCTGGAAAGTTTTCTGGCACAAAAAAGCTGAAATCCTTATTGATAAATCTTGGACTGTTATCATTTTTATCCAATACAGTGATGGTGACAGTTGCTATTGATTCTCTTGGAGGGAATCCAGAATCTACTGCTTTGACAGTGTATCTGTATTTCTCTTTTTCTTCTCTGTCCAGTTGGGTGGAAACTGTAAGAACTCCTGTGGTTTTATCTAAAGCAAAATAGGAAGGGGCATCAGGACCTAAGAAATAGGACACTTGCCCTCTTTCTCCGCTGTCAGCATCAGTGGCATGCAGTTTGGTCAAAAAAGCATTGGGGACATTGTTCTCCTCAATGGACAATTCTATCAGCTGTTCAGAGAAAACTGGTGAATTGTCGTTGTCATCCAGAACCTGTACTTTGACAACTTTCTTGACATGAAATCCTTTTGAGTTCCAGGCAACTATGGAGATTTCATACAGCTGCTGTGTCTCAAAGTCCAAAGGCTTTGTGGTCTCCAACAGGTATTCATTGTTGTATGGCTTGTACGGTGAAAGTCTGAAAGGCCCATCACCATCCAAATAGCAACTGACTTTGTATTTTTCATCAGGGTCTTTGATGGTAAAAAATGCTATAGGTGTGTTGATAGGCTCAAGTTCCTTTAAGTAGACCACCCCTTCCACTTCATTAGCTATGAAACGAGGAACAACTTCAGGGGGCCTCATCATGACTTTGATGATGGTCACCAGCACTGTAATCACAGCAGGAATACAGCCAGGACCGTTGCCCAGTATGATCAGCCTGTGTAGCCTTGGAGTGTCCCCATCAACTTTAGTGGAGAGTGTGATGGCTCCTGTGCTTTCATTCAGATGGAACAAGTCTCTGGATGGCTGGGGGACCTTCTGGCTGTAGGAGTAGGTGATCTGGGCATTGGTTCCAAGGTCCATGTCCACCGCATGGACAGTAGTCACATGTGTCCCTAGGCTGGAATTCCCATAGAGAGTGACGTTGAGCTGCGAGTCATTGAATTGGGGGCAGTTGTCATTGACGTCACTGATGCCAATAGTGAGAGTGGCACTGCCCACAAGCGGAGGAGTCCCCCCATCCTCAGCGACAATGACTGTCACATACTCGTCCTGTGTCTCCCTGTCCAGTGCCCCCATAACAATCAGGTAGGGAGTCCTCTCTCCATTCTCATTCTCCTCCACATCCAGGGTGAAGACACCATAGTTATCTCGCAGGCGGTAGGTCTGGACACCATTGGTGCCCATGTCAGGGTCAAGGGCGGGGTGCTCGATAGCCAGGCGGGTGTTCACAGGCGCATTCTCAGGCACCGAGAGACGGATGTGGGGCACAGGGAAGCGGGGCGCATTGTCGTTGACATCACGGATAGCGATTTTTACCTTCACCAGGCGAAAGTACTCCTGTGGCAGTACCAGCACATCCAGCAGCAGTAGGCATGACTCTGGTGAGGGGGAGGAAGAGGAGACAGCAGCCAATCCCCCGAAGATGGTGGCCCCACTGCTTTCCACACAGAGAGCTTCCCGGTCTATCTCCACCGCTGAGGTGTGCAGCTCTCCGGAGCGGTTGTCCAGCTGCACATACTGTCCCCCCAAGCCATGGGAGGCCAGGGTGAAGGAGAGTGGGGGCTGCAGAGACGCAGCTTGCTGGCCACCAGCCATTGGGAGCCGCAGGTCACGGGCCAGATTGCCGATGAGCACCCCAGCAGGCATCCCCTCGTTGAGGCTGTAGAAGAGCTCAGTGGCGCGGCTGTAACTGGCAAAGCAGTTGAAAGGCCCAACGAAGAGCAGGAAGAGAAGCAAGTGCTGAGAAGAGAGAAGCACAGGGGTGTAAGGAAGGGCTGGCGCTTCCCCCCGCCCACTGCCTCCCCCACTGCCACTTCGAGCAGCGACTGCTGCATCTGCAACATGAAGCCATCCTCTCTCTCCCCACCATCCTCCCAGTACAGCAGCCACTTCCAGGACATCACCATCTGTACCCTCCAGGCAACACCAGCTGCATCCCCCACAGCAAATACGCAGTGCCAGGATGGCCCGGGGGCACCCTGCCTCCCCCCGCCCCCCAGCAGCACTTGCGCCCCGACGTGCCATTTTCTCTCTTGCCCCCGCCCCAAGCTCGCCCCCGTCTCACCAGCGGCACCTTTCCTCCCAACCACAAGCGCATCCCAAACCGGGGCATCATCCCCTTGCACACCCCCAAACATTTGCTTGCCCCCTTCCCCTTCCACAACAGAAATGTGGAGCGCGTCCCTTGCTGCCCCTACCCACAGCCCCATCCCGAAAGCTGTTTTTCCCGGATGTTCACGGGTCCCGCGGTGCACCGGGGAGGCGGCCCGCTCCGCGGAGCCCACGGAGGTCCCGGCGGAGGTGCCGCGCGCCGGGGGAGTCCCTGCCTCCGCGGCCGCGGAGCCGGCGGCTCCAGCCCCGCAGTGACGGGTCCCCGGCCACCCCCGCGGGGTCCCTCTGTGCCGCGATCTGCGCACAGGAGCCGCGGAGCGGAGGGGCTGCGCGGAGCAAGTTGCTGCGCTGGCGAGCGTGTCGCCCGCTACTCACAGATGGAAAGGAGCTCCCCGAAAGTAACTTCAGGCATCGTCTCGACAGAGGAAATTTTTCCTCCTTCTTCCGCCGCCGCCGCCGCGCTGGGCTGGGCTGGGATGTGCGCGCCGCCCAGGACACTCCCCCTCCGCCGCGGGAAGGGCCGGAGCGGGGGAACAGGCACGGGCTCGGCTGGGAGGGGGGCGGGCGGGCGAGACGCGGGGGCGCGTCCGCGGAGGCTGCGGCAGCGCCGCGGGCAGCGGGCAGGGAGCGCAGCGGGCAGCGGGCTGGGAGGGAAGCGGGCAGCGGGCAGGGAGCGCAGCGGGCAGGGAGCGCAGCGGGCAGGGAGCGCAGCGGGCAGGGAGCGCAGCGGGCAGTTGCTGCGCTGGCGAGCGTGTCGCCCGCTACTCACAGATGGAAAGGAGCTCCCCGAAAGTAACTTCAGGCATCGTCTCGACAGAGGAAATTTTTCCTCCTTCTTTCTAATCACCCATTCGCTTTTCCGCGGCTGTCTGCCACAACCCGCGCCGGCAGCAGCAACAAATATAAACTTTTCCCGGCTGCCCTGATCTTTAGAGAGAAAAAGACCCAACAAACATATGCACGCATACACGGCCTAGTTTGTTTGGTTGGTTTTTAGGTGCTTTTTTGCCAATTTGTTGCCGATTTCGCTGCTGCGTGCGAAGTCGGGCTCGGGTGGCCGGACGCGGCGCGTCCCCTCCTCCCGCCGCCCGGCCCTCACCTGCAGGCTGCCGCGGGCGCTGGAGCTGCCGCGACCGCCCGGGGGCCCCATGCCCGGCCACCGCTGCCGCCGCCGGCTGCGCGGAAGCGGGCAGCGGGCAGGGCGGGCAGCGGGCAGGGAGCGCAGCGGGCAGCGGGCTGGGAGGGAAGCGGGCAGCGGGCAGGGAGCGCAGCGGGCACGGAGGGAAGCGGCCGCTGTGCTGAGCCCAGCGGCGCGGCCACAGCGGAGAGCGGGGATGTTGGGGATGTGTGTGCTCGCCCGGGCAGCGCTGGGAGCAGGGAAAGAAGGTAGACCCGGCTGGAAACTAAGGCGGGAAAAAGATATTAAAAATGAAAATAAAGTCGGCTTGCTCTTCGTCTGTAGAAAGCGGACGGAGAGCGACTTTTTACAAGGGCCGATAGTCATTGGACGAGGGAAACAGTTTTGAACTAAAAGAGGACAGATTTAAATGAGGTGTTAAGGAAAAAATTCTTTATTCCGAGGGTGGAGAGGCACTGGAAATAGTTGCCCAGAGAACCTGCGGATGCCCTATCTCTGGATGTGTTCAAGGCCAGATTGGATGGGGCCCTGAGCAACCTTATCTAGTGGGTGGCATCCCTGCTCTTGACCAGGAGGGGTTGGAACTAAGATCTTTAAGTTTGCTTCCAACCCAAATAATTCTGAGATTCTGTGTTGCTGCGTGAGTGTCAGCAGGCAAATCGGGAATTAACAGCTGCATTGGCATTGCGGAGCCTTGGTGAATGAGCAGCTTGTTCCTGCACCTAATGAAAGTCATGTTTTTGTAGAGATTGTAAGCATTTGATTGGTGGAAATAGTGTCCTGCTGAATTAGAGCAGCAACTACGATTTGCTGCTGGCTAAGAACTCAAAGGTCCTCTGCTGCAGAAAATTATGTGTTTTCATTTTATAGTCTCCAGTCACTAATGGCTAGACTATAAGCCTGCCATAGAACTAGATGTGAAATTATCAGAACTCAGGAAACTTTAGAGAGCACAAGACCAATTACACATTCATTTAACATGTTGGACTATCAAAAGGATTTCTAACCTTCCCAGCATTACTTACACTGTCTGTCTGCAACATCTGAAACAGAATTTTAGATGTCCATCTTTAGCCTGAAAGTGCTCAGTGGTCTGAATCCAGGCTACTGCTGAAAGCTTGAGTACTGGGACTCTCAAGCACAGTGGAGCTGCCCTTTGCAGCAGTAATGTTTGTGTGGGAATTGAAACTCGCTAAATCACAGTGCCTGAATACCACCTTAAGTGTTTTCATGCTCTGTGGTGAGCACAACATGCAGGCATTTGTTTTCAGCTAGGCACTAAAAACATAGTGCACAGTAAAACACTTTCCTTCAGTTAAAACAAAAATTACTCTTCCCTTTTCCTTTTCCAATTCCATGAGGCTAACTCCATGTCCAATCCAAAGCAAAGAAGCAAAACCCAGTGTAATTAGAATCCCAGTCCAAAACCAAATTAATGCCTGAGTCTTTTGTAAAACTGCATCTTTCAAAAGCAAATAATAAGTGAAACATACAAAACATATTGTCTAGCAACTCTTGGGATGTTCTCGGGTGTTGTGAGGATGACAGCTGTGGCACAAACTTCGTAGCATAGAATAGAATAGAACAGAACAGAACAGAACAGAATAGAAACAAAAACTTCCAAGGGTGACTTTCTCTGGGACTGTAAACAAATCATATTAATTCCTTTGTCCCATATTCTCCATCCTTAAAATATAAATAGTGCAATACTGTTTGTCTGAATTAGAGCTTTACCCCATTCTTGCTAAAGTAAATGGCAGTGGAATCAGGCTCTGCTTTATTCAGTGAAACTCTTGGAAATATACTGTGGTTTAAATAACCATTTCATCCCAAAAAATGACATTAGTACAATAATCATATGTGAGATAAACAGTAAAGCATTATGGTACTAAAAAATGGCTTGGGTTTATTTATTATTCATTAATCCCTAGGGTTTTGAAACCACTCAGTATGTACCGCCTTATAAATTGTTTATATCTTTGCCATTCATTTCTAGCATAAATAGAACAGACAATGCAGTGTATACAGTTCAGAGTGAACATGTATAATTCAAGAAAGAAATCAAACTACCCAAGTCCTTTACTAAATTCTCATCCATTTGCACTGTTCTGAACATTGCTTGGTGTTAAAGGTGCCTATAAACTCAATCCTGTTTAAGGTAGTTTGACTGGACATGCATGTCAGATGCTTTTAGCTGACTCACATTTGCTCTAATTTTATTCATTTCAACAGAAATATTGACTCATTTGGATTTCAGTCAGATTTTGACACTGATTTGTGTGGAGTTAGAATTCATAGACATTATAATTTTAGTTTTAGTGAATCAGTAGTCTGCTTATGAATGAGTCTGAATCCCTACAAAATTCTACCATTAAGTTTTGATTTTCTTTTTTCTCTGATGTCACAGTTTCCTTTTATATTATTTCTTCCTCTTATGCTTTTGGAATTACTGACATATTCCTACACCATTTTTCATACTATTACAGCCACTGCAGTTCCCTTGGGCTGCTGATAGGGTAAATGATGGCTTTACTGTTATAGTATTCAGGGTTTCATTATACTTGATGACTTTTGTTTTATTAAAGCACAGGTGTAACAGCAGAATTAAAAGTTTTCTGGAGCATCTGGTACCTCTATAATATTTTATTTTGTTAGACATCAGAATCATCTAGTAAGTCTTAAAGGCTCCTTAAAGACTAATGTGTCTAATAAATCTCCTGGTTAAGAAGTACTCCAGCCTGTTTAAGGAGAAGTACTCCAGCTGTTTTGGAATGAGGGGTGTGAGAGAAACAGCAGTATAGAAAAGATACCAAACTGGCTCCTTCACTCATTATTTTGGGGGAAGAACCCCTTCCAAAGTTGCAGAAAGACATTGAACTGATTTAATTATATTTCTATACCAAGTTATGTTTTCTGGGACAAAGATGTTAGCAATTTATGAGCCTAATTCCATTCAACCACTTGTTCTTTTTAACTTGCAGCTTACTAGATAAAATCTAGTGTTACTACATCCAAGATTCATGTTGCAATTAGTGATTGAGAAGGAACAAGTGAGAGCATTTCTGTGGGATTCCTGATTGCCTCAAGTATGTCACAAACCTCAAGGCTGAGATCTAGTGACAAGCCCTCCGAGAAGTGTCATAGTTATTGATAAATAGATCAGACAGAAAAAGTGCATTACTGGTATGGTAAAAATAGAGTATTTATTTTACTTTATTCTGAATAAAGAACATAGGTATTGATACTCAATTGAAATGCCTTGTTTTTGTGGGCAGAATTCCAGTGGCAGATGGGAGCCTTCCCAGGTGATTCATTCAGGACCATCACTTCTGAAAGAGAATATCAAATAGTATCTTTTGGCATGGCTGGCAACTGTGGCCAACTTTTACAAGGGACAGGGATGTAGGGACATGTTGCCCCCTCAATCTAGCAAAAAGCTCTCTGCTACAACCTGTGGTTGTACAGTGAAAGATTGTGGTGTGAGATTTTCCCATCAGTGAAATTTCACTGATTCAGATGACAAATTTTGTTAGACTCCAGTCAATGTGATACTTTGAGACAGGTGCTTTTCAGTGGGGAAGCAGTCCCATTTTGCAGTGAAAGCCCTGGTCTGAGTATTGATTTCTAGTCACAGGAAATCTAAGAAAGGCACATGACTAACAGACTGCCACTTCACTGAAGATTTTAAACTGCAGGAGATACAGGGCAAGTAAAAGGTCTTTTTAACTTTTAGCAATATACACTCTTTATTGTTTTGCTGCTCAGTAAGGAAAATGCCTTACATGCTGAACTTCCTGTGTGGGATGGTGGATTACACTGTGAAAGACTCTTATGAATATTAGATAGTGACCTTTCTCACAGAAGTACTGAGCATCTGGTACTTGCACTTTACTGAAAGCTGTGATCATTCTGTGTCACTGTAGATCAGACCTAGCATGATCATTCCGTTCTCGGCACAGAGCAGGAGAGGGACCCTGGCACTGCTTTCCCTTGTGTCACTGTAAGGCAGCAGAAACTCTGGGTCCAGCTTGAATAAAGCAACAGTTGAGCTGGAAAGTGGATGACTCTTAGGGGTTTGTATCGCTCAAATCTCCAGTTACCCTTTCAAAGGGCTGGTTCTTGAAAGCTCTTGCAAGGTGGACCTGCAAGGTTCTGCTCAACAGCTTTTCATGAACAAAACTCTGCTGCGGTCATGACAACCTTACAAGAAAGTAGCTAACATGTGAAAGCAGTTTCTAAACTTATGAAGGAATATCCCATGAGGCAAAGCGGTGTTTGATAGGAAAGCTGACAAAGGTGGATGAGATTTTCCCGTCTGGTTAGCTTAGTGCCTATTGGGGACTGCTAAGTTGAAGTATCACAAATCAGAGCTGATAAACAGTGGCAGAGAAAAGAGACTTGAGAAAAAAAAAAAAGCCTTCTGCAGTCTCTAAACCAAGTATTTGACACATTTGACCAACTTCTTCCTTCTTCCTTAGATTCTTTTGAGGTTTCATAGAAGTACGTGTTCTTTGGTTATAGTGATTTTTATGTATCTCCATGCATTTTCTGCTTTTCTTTTTATCTGGAAAAATCTAAATATACTCCAGCAGTGAGAAAGATACACACATATATATATATATATATTCAATATATTTTTAGTCTGATCACAACTTTATTTTCAAAAGAAAACCTAACTTTAAATTTATTAACTAAGTATAGTTTTTTAAAAATATAAGAGGAAGAAAGACTTTAATTCAGATTATATTCCAGCAGATCTTTTTACCAGAGTTTTTTTATACTGTGTTACATAGCATATGAACATTTACTTTCACTGACTTCTTGTGTAAGGCTTAAAATAATAATGAAACAGCTCTTGTTTAGTAAAAGCCAAAGCACAAGCTGAGCTATAGTACTAATATGACACTCCTAAAAATTATTAATGCCGTAAGTGTTTCATTACAGTCCTTATCACATCAGTTCAGGGACAACATTTCAGCTTCTGCCAGCTCACTGTGTACATAATGTCTGCAAGTTATGAGAGTGTCATGAATATGTAGATATTCCTTAA